TAACAACCCAAAACACCGATGACAATTATTCTTGAGAAGAGCCGCCTCTGAAAGATGTCTCTGCTGGCAGACGTTTCAAGTCAGAGGTAGGAGAAGATGTACTTCTAGAAGACACGCTATTGAAAATAAATGTGAAACACCCCATGCATAAAGGCAACACTAAACACACAACACCACTTCCAAAACAAAACAAGCAGCCACTCATATCCGATTCATTTTACTTGAAGCGAGTCCCATTCCCTTATCCCCAATAGACGATGGAAGTGAAGAAAATCTTGACGAGTCTCTCTTGATTCCCAGAACCAACGCACAAGTACAGGAGCTTTATAAAAACAATTGTCAATAAGACACAAATTTATTCACAATCACTGCACTACCTTCATGGTATGTTACGAGGATAGAAGTTGTTTATCATTGGGCAAAACTTTCAGCCCTCCGACCCACCATATGCTGACACACTAGTTACACCACGACAAACGGCTAGAGAGTGAAGGAGAGGTGAAACTTGGAGAGTGTGATTGGTGAGTCCTGTAAACAGAGGAAGCATTACAAAACCTGGTAGTGTACGAGCAAGAAGTTGTGCAGGCAAAGCTCCTAATTACCTAGCAACTCACTTTTGTTTGCATCGAGTACATTGAGCATTGGAATGATCTTGTGGTTCTAATGGTTCTAAACCTCATCGAATGGAACCGAATTAACACAATCCGGGGCACATTTCCCACGCTCCACGCGAGTTGCAATACTTGACAGCATCTTCTGGTGAAGAAAAACAGTGAGAAGATTAGAGGTTAGATTTACACTAAATTAAACTGTAGGCTAACCGTCTACAACAAATGAGGTGTGCTTGACGATTAAAACGCAAGTCGGAATGCCGCTTGAATGCAAGAACCAGCTCAACAAATGCACTAAGTTACTCACAATAGGGCAGGTGCCAGGAGACGTACATCTGTTAGGGGACTGGACACAGGAGCCGATCTTTCGACGATGCTTGGAAGAATCGAGCACACGCCTTCTACGAGAAACAACAACTTGCTTGAGCGGATGAGCGGGGTGGTGGGGGATGGTGGGGGAGGAAAGAGACCATAACCCCTACAGGGGTTTCAGTGCGGCGACAGAACGATTTACAAGAAAACTAGAGAACTATATTCGACATCTTCGTATCCAGGGAATCCACGATTAATTTTTCCTTGGGCATATAGGCTTCTTTTACTACATAAAGACGGAAACATCCCGTTTGACTGGAAATAGTAGCTCTCGTAAGCGTTCAGGCCTGCGTCGTCGTCGTCTGGTTGTTGTCCCTACCGCACCCTTCCCCTCCACCACCCTCCAGCCTACCCCCACCCATGGATACTGCCGAGCATCGTCGAAAGCAACGGATTCAGATAGACAGTTTTAAAAAGTTATTTACATTAAATTTATCGATGACAATTGCACTTTAAGCTGCGAGTGCCCCAGCATTCATCTTCTCTGAACTAGTAAATCCCGGTGGCATTGAAATCTAAGCAACCAATTTTCATGTAATCGTTCCGTTATTGCGGCCTGTAAAACCCCGCTGAGACCCTTTCCTATCCCTCTCAACTCTAGATCTCCTGCAGGTGCACATCGGGACAAGCGACGATCATCTGGGGATCAAAACAGCGCGAACATTCGAATGAGGCCATGTCGCCTAGAGTTGATCCCCGGTTGATATTGAATCATTGTCGACATTCTCCGCTTAGCGTGTGTTTGAAATTCATTGTTTACTATTAATTCTATTTACCACGTTAATATATTTGACAAAATTTGTGCATACATGCGATAAAAGACAATTTTCGTTGTATGTGCCTCATCCCCCCGTTTGAGCTGCCGCCATATTGCCGGCGCACCCGCCGTAGCAAGAGTTCGCGTTGAGGTTAGAGACTTTTATAATATCTGGCCAGAAGCTGATCTCGAGTGGTAAGGATATTTCTTCGTTACTCTTTTTGGACGTGAGTGATAAATTGATCATCAAAATTACGAATTTTAGTACAAATCAGCCGTTTTAAGTGGCGGAATTCAAGCTTCCCGCACATTGATCCCCAGATGGAAGAGAACGTTATGGGTCCCATCACAGCTAGTGACTCGCAAAACGGCAGTGCACCTGCCCTATTGCACTTACTTTTCTGTAATAACAAGCTCAGCTAGACGAAGGAATTTCAAACTACAAAATAGTGCAGATCACATGGCAATTTGCTATCATAAAAAAAATTGCTATTAACAAAAATATTAAGGTTTCTTTATTTAATTATTCTAGTTAATGAAGGCAACTTTTATTCTCAAAGTTGGTATGCTGCGTGTTCAGTTATTATTTATTTTGTTCTTGTTTATCGCCGCAACCCGCAGTAAAACAGAGAAAATAACGTTTACGTCTAGCTGAGCTTGTTATTACAGAAAAGTAAGTGCAATTGTGAGTAACTTAGTGCATTTGTTGAGCTGGTTCTTGCATTCAAGCGGCATTCCGACTTGCGTTTTAATCGTCAAGCACACCTCATTTGTTGTAGACGGTTAGCCTACAGTTTAATTTAGTGTAAATCTAACCTCTAATCTTCTCACTGTTTTTCTTCACCAGAAGATGCTGTCAAGTATTGCAACTCGCGTGGAGCGTGGGAAATGTGCCCCGGATTGTGTTAATTCGGTTCCATTCGATGAGGTTTAGAACCATTAGAACCACAAGATCATTCCAATGCTCAATGTACTCGATGCAAACAAAAGTGAGTTGCTAGGTAATTAGGAGCTTTGCCTGCACAACTTCTTGCTCGTACACTACCAGGTTTTGTAATGCTTCCTCTGTTTACAGGACTCACCAATCACACTCTCCAAGTTTCACCTCTCCTTCACTCTCTAGCCGTTTGTCGTGGTGTAACTAGTGTGTCAGCATATGGTGGGTCGGAGGGCTGAAAGTTTTGCCCAATGATAAACAACTTCTATCCTCGTAACATACCATGAAGGTAGTGCAGTGATTGTGAATAAATTTGTGTCTTATTGACAATTGTTTTTATAAAGCTCCTGTACTTGTGCGTTGGTTCTGGGAATCAAGAGAGACTCGTCAAGATTTTCTTCACTTCCATCGTCTATTGGGGATAAGGGAATGGGACTCGCTTCAAGTAAAATGAATCGGATATGAGTGGCTGCTTGTTTTGTTTTGGAAGTGGTGTTGTGTGTTTAGTGTTGCCTTTATGCATGGGGTGTTTCACATTTATTTTCAATAGCGTGTCTTCTAGAAGTACATCTTCTCCTACCTCTGACTTGAAACGTCTGCCAGCAGAGACATCTTTCAGAGGCGGCTCTTCTCAAGAATAATTGTCATCGGTGTTTTGGGTTGTTAAAAACTTCAAGCAAACAAGAAGGGAGTGTGGGTGGTGGTATTGGTGGTATCATCTTGATTTTGTTTCTTGTAAATGGTGCTGAAGTTGTATTTGTGCATGGAATATTCTAGAGGGTTTTCTAGAAGCCTATTGTCTGAAAGTACATCTCCTCACACCTCCACCTTCAATCGTTTGCCACCAGTACTTCTAAAATGGGATCCTCAAGGTCACTGGAAGAATGTCTCTGTCTTACACACCTACGCCCCTCAAGTGAAGGATTGATTGGGCAATGTTCGGATGGCTTTTGTATGGGTGTTACATTACTGACAACCCGGAGGGACTTGTCAAGAAAATCTTCATTTCATTTTCCATCAAGCAAATGGGAATGGTCTCACCTCAAGCAGAAGGAATGGGTTCTAAAGTATGGTTTTGGGGGTGGTTCTGTGGTGTGTTCCGTGTTACTTTTGTGCACAATTTATTATGGAGGGATTCAGGAAGTCAATCTTCAAGAACTGTGCTGCGCCCACAGGGCAAATCGAATCAAGATGTCATTTCCAACAAAGTTGTGAAACGGAATCTGTGGTTTAGAGAGTGCTCAAGTCTATCACTTTGAGAATGCAAAGTTGGTATTATTTTGATTTCTAATGAGGCATGTATAATACTTATTGCTACTCTTATGTTTAGTTAAATTTCTGTTGCTTTCTTTTCTTATTGCAGACTAATTGTTCAGCAGATTGTGAACAAAAGAGAAATTGTTTCAAAGATCGATCGAAGACAATTGTCTTGTTGCCTTGGTGTGGATGTGGATGTCAATGTCGACAAGAACATCAATGTGAGTTCTTTTTTCAGTTGGATAAGCTATTGTTAAGTTGCTGATTTATTGTGCAAGTACTCATACATGCTTTTGATTACACACCCTTTCACGGTACAGACAAGATTGGGAGTCCAGCTGTCAGCCAGGACAAGAGTAATCCAGAGCATTACACATCAATATCTCATCCCAAGAGCTGGATCTATATCTGTCGGTGTGACAAGGTTTGTTGTCTTTTCTGTAATGTCAGTCCTTCGTCACAGTTACTTTCCAATTTATT